CGTTACCACCACTCAAAATCTGAAATGGGATAACCAAGTGTTTACCGTTACTAAAAAAGCCAATAAGCTACTATACCTGATTTTAAAGACATTCTCAACATTACGTCCATCTATGGTGAAACTGATCTACATGGCATATATCAGACCTATACTAGAGTATGCTAATGTAGTTTGGTCCCCCCATTATCAGAAAGATAAAAAACATATTGAAAAAGTACAAAGGCAGATCACAAAGATCCCTAGAGAACAACGTCAACTTGATTATGAAGGAAGATGCAGAGAAATATCTCTTCTAACATTAGAACAGAGAAGAAGTAGAAATGATATTGTAGAAACGTTGAAGATCCTGAAAGGATTTTATAACGTTCCTGAATTCAACAACTTTTTCATTAAAGCCACGGAGTCTAGACTTAGAGGAAAAGCGTTGAAACTGGTGAAAGAGAGGACAATGACAGGACAACGTTCTCATTTTATTGTAAACTGAGTGGTAAATACATGGAATTCACTTCCCACACTTTGTATACAAAAGGAAACTCTGAGCGCCTTTAAGGGTTGTCTGGATAGTCAATTTTTTGTTATCAATTGAATGATATCTCCACAAGTGTTATTATCTGTGATTTGTAATTGTGATCTAATTATAACTGTATTACTCTACGAAAATTATTGATTATATAACTTTATTTTACACCGATGTAATGATATGTGTACAACAGCTTGTTGCTGCCACCATTAATAAATTAATAATAATAATAATAATAATAATAATAATAATAATAACAACAATAATAATAACAACAACATCTCGGTCTACTATAAAAATCTTCGTGGACTCTGAACTAAGCTTTCTGCCTTCCAACAATATAGTGGCTTTTGATGACATCGATATCCTGATTTTTACAGACTTGTCTACATGAAGGGATTAATGATGCTGAGCTCTACCTTAATTATCACAATATCTTTAGAAACGACAGAAGTGCGGCAACAAGTCAAAAGAGCAGAGGCAGTGGGGTGATGATTGCTATTCACAAGAAATATTATTGCATTGCTATTGAATCCTGTAATTCTTGTGCAGAACAAATATGTGTTTAAGTTAAAACTGATACCTTATTGTGGCATCAGTGTACATACCTCCAAAATCCATGTCAATAGCATACTCACAATTTACTGAAAAATTAGAACAAATATTTGAGAGTAATCCTTTATCGTATTTTTTGGTGATTTTAACTTGCCACAAACAAAGTGGATAAATGAGGATCTATGAGTTATGAATGAATTTGTAAGCCACTCATGATGACATTCAATCTAGCTCAATATTATTAAACTCTGCAAACTATTTAAATTTGTTCCAATGTAACTCAATTAGAAATGAATTTAGTAATATATTAGATCTGATATTTACTAAAGATCCACATTGTAAAATATTCAAATCAATAAACAATTTTATCTTGTGATAAATACCATTCTGCTTTAGAAGTTTTGTTCATTATTAATGTTTTGTTTCCAGTCACTTTATACTGATGATATTACATATAATTTTGAGAGAGTGGATTATGTTGCAATAAATAACGATTTGATATCATTTGATTGGCTTTCCTATTTTGTTAATAATTCTTCACATTCATCTTTAGTCTATTTTTATAACATAATGTACAATAGTATTACCACTTTTGGTTATAACCGCCGGTTAACTAACTCCTGGTTAAAGTAACTTCAGGTTAAAACAGACTGTGTATTATGAGTGTGAGGTAACTGGCAGTTAGCTAACTCTTACTTTAACATTTACTCGGTGTTGGTTGGCAATACTTCCTAGTACTCAAAACGATTAATAGATTACAGCATAATGTTTTCGATATATAACTTTTCGTGCGCCTTTCACTTTTCACTGTAGGATAGGAGGTTTGTTTTGTTTCTGGTGTTTTGGGCTTGGCAACAGTCAGTGGACAGCAGCATAATTCGCATGTTAAGTGCCTTTTGCGAAATGCAAAATTCCGGCGAAATGCAGCGTTCTGCCAATTTTCTGCGGGAGGAATGCTCCACACTGGTCAATCTAGTTTATCAGTATGTTGAAATTGTGGATGGCAGAAAGTCCAATGCAACTACGAATAAGGAAAAGGTAATTTAAAATAAAAATTTTACTATCTTTCATATCAAAATTCTCAATTCAATTTACCCTTCTGATATCTTTTATTAGCTTTAATATTTACCTTTTCAATATGTCATTAATCTATTGATTTAATTGTTTTTAAATTTTGCAGGACAAAGCACGGGAGAACATTACTGTCAACTTCAATGCAGCCACTGCTTCTCGCCGTACTGTCAAGCGATTAAAAGAAAATCATGACAACTTAATAAAAGAAGCAAAGAAAATGTTGGGCAGAGAGAGACAGGAAATCTTGAGAACCAGAGGAGGGCCAGCAACCATTGTACAAAGGATCCTATTTTGGAAAAAGTTGCTGGGATCATGGGAGTAAGTGCTGTAGGAATGCCATCGACAAATGATGACGATGACATAAACACAATGGTTGACGCAGCAGGAGAAGATGAAGACACATTAACAGACACTTGACCTACCTATTTTACATATCAAAGAATTGGAACTTTGGCAATGCAGGGTAGTGAAAGTGACGTGCAGGAATGGTCAAAATATGCACCCGCTATGCTGAAGTGGAAAAGAAATCCGAATTTAATTGTGACCCCGAATGCATCAAGACGACTACCTCAGATGTGCGACAACAATCAGTCCTTCTGCGAGTGGGCAGAAGTTGTACTCCTGGGCTTTTGTAAGGACTGAAGTGACCTTTCTGCAGAAGAAATTTGAAGCAAAGCAGAAGCGAGAGAAAGAGTTTCATTCGATTAACATGAAGATTACAGAAGAAGAACTTAATAAGAGCGAAGAGAAAACTTATAGAAGTGGACATGGAAGCAAAGGAGAGACAACAAAATAATCTTTTTGAACATTTGTAAATTTTATTTTTTAAATGTCATTTAAGCATTAATGCATGTTTAACATTAATATCTATGAATTCTGTCTCTGAAGAACATCACAAATTTTTCCCGAACTGCTTCCCTTTGTGGCACTTCTAAATTTATGGCAGGAGTTATCTGCCCTTCTTGAACTGCCAATTGCAATTGTTCTTGATCCATGCCTGGAACAGGTGGAGGATCTGCTTCCTTCCTCTTAATAGCAATGTTGCGCATTACAGTACATGCCACAATTATGGGCTGCACTAGTAAAATATCTTGCCTTATTCTCAGTGCCAAAATAGGGAACCTTACTTTCCAAACACCGTATAATCTTTCCACAGTGTTGCAAATATTTCCACTAATGTGCGATTCATTATACTAAGTTTCCTCGGGTAAATAAGGGTTGCGAAGAGGCTTCAACAATGTTGCACCCGTAGGATATCCTCGCCAGGCAGCACCCCATTCAAAAAATCTCCTTTCTCCACCCAAGCCTTAATTACAGTTTCTGTATATTCATTCATTAGCATTGCGGCTTAATCCAGGCCACTGTGCAACTATATTTTGAATGTGCTAGTCCTGGCTGGCAACGGTTTGCACATTGAAGCTGAAGTAGCCTTTCCTGTTTCAAAAAGCTTCAGTGTTGTCTCCACCGAGTGAAACAATGCATACATGAGTGCAGTCAATGGTACCAATCACCCTCGGAAAAGCAACCATTTCAAAGAACTTTCTTTGAATGGTTAATATTTCTTCTCTGCTTCTCGGCACGTAAATAAATTTTCACCTTAGAAAAGCAAGGGCATGGGAGACTTTTGTAATTATTCTCCCTACAGTAGTGTAACAACAAGTAGTACTTCAAAAATATTAATTGGATTAAAAAAAAATTAATTGAATTGAAATTTTATTGGCAAAAAGTGATATTTTCCTTTAATTTGTAATTTACTTTAGAAACGTTTCAAGTCAAGCTTATTTCTTAATGAATGTATGCAAAATACGATAATACACAAAAGTTATTCATCTTAATTACATTATAAGTATAAACTTCTGAATTTTAGAAATGCAGAAACTCATTACAACAGGAAAAGAACAGTCGTAAAAGAAAAATAAGAAAATTTCATGAAACAATATTTACCCTGTTTTAACTTACACCTGGTTGGGAATACATAACATTTAATATTTAATTGACATAATAATCATTTAAATTTCAAAAGTGGTTAAAGTGAACCAACACTTTTCTAATGAATATTATTTAATTTTAGTAATATCCACAAAGATTTAAAGGCAATCAAAATAAGGTTTGCAGTATTATTCATTTGATATTGAAATAATCGTTTTCATTGGTCTACTTATTATTTAAAAAGACAGTAATATTAAACACGTAAAATTCAATAATATATCATTTCAATGCTTACAGCCCAGGAGGTTACAACATAACCTCATTATTTCAAAAATACAGAGAGAAAGCTAAGGAAAGGTTCTACATCTACCTACAGAGGGAACATACTGTAACTAGTGCCATTTATGATTTATTATATACATCCGCATACCTGTCTGTAATGTATTCCAATTCATTTTCAATCTGTTGCCATAGGAATAAAGCAGTTTGTTTCGTAATCCTGAAATGTGTGAAAAATTCATCGCAGTCCGTCTCTCCAGAATTATCCCATCTGGGCTGCAAACGTTTGAGCCGTCTGATATTAACGAAATATTCCAACAGCATTTCATTTTCAGAATCAGTTTCTACATTTATTATGGGGTTTAAAGATTAGTAATGACAGCTATTGCCTTCATTAAACAGAAGAAAAATTGCAAAATCTAGATTGGTTCTCACTGAAATGAGGATAACAGGCATAATGGAAACCACAAGTATAGAAGTAGCTCAGATGAAGTTTCTAGGGTTGTGTTAGGAGTAACATGAAGAGACAAAATTCAAAATGAAACAACTAGGATAAAACTGAAAATAAGAAACTTAGCCAGGAAAAATCAATAATTACCAGAGGAAATGGAGAAAACATGAAAGAATGGACAACACATGCTATCAATTGCAATTAAACTTTAGACTGAACGCAGAGGAGAGAAGAGAAACCCGACAAGAAGATGGAACCAGCAGTAACACCACATGAAGAATACTCCTTTACTTCCGCCCTAACAGAACAGCAAGCACTGCTTCTAAACCAGGGTGTGGACGATCGATAAAGAAAACATTTAACAATTACTACCCGCTCTAAGACTAAAAAAAACTTCGGACCATCACAGTATAATCAAACCTTCATCTGAGATGACAATATATTAAAACTGAAATAGAAGAGAACTAAAAATAAAAACTGCAAAACACATTCTGTTCAACAGAGTTGCATACAAACCAATACTCTCCCAGACAATTCACTGCTGCTGATTGTGGCCATTTTCAAGAGGACAACAAAAAGTGTTGTGTAGGATATCTTTGCAATTTTTAAAATAAATTTAAAGATGTTGTCATTGCCCAACAATGATTTTTTTAATTCAAAAGCAGCTTTCGATGGCTTAGCATCATCATTCAGTTGTCTGCTAGATGGAAGCACAAAACGACTAGGTAGTCATTGTTTGGAATGAGGAAACCCAAATGCCTACCCTAATTCAATATCCTGCTGACGGAGTGCGGTGTGAAACCAGCATTATACCTATTATAGTACAGGGAGGTACACTCAGGCAGAATCTGACAATTTTACTATTAAGGCTAGTATTCTAATGCAGAAATATCAGCGATGCATAATACTCACCTTCTTTGTGTTTGCCCTGAGTTGTTTGAACATGAATTATAAATCTTATCCTACAGCATGCCAAGAGTTTCTGCAGTGGCGTGGCACCTTTCTGGTGAGAGTTCTAGCAACAAAAATATTGTTGGTAGCATGAGCTGCAGCTTGTTAGGAAAGAAAATGTAAATACTGTACTCGCAACAATCCTAACAGATGCTAAGGTGTTGTCCCCAGTTGTTTCCCAGTGATCTGATCGCTACCAACCCAAAAGCAATTTTTAATAGGAGACCCTGAATCGGCTTGGTTTGGAGAGACTTTCCTGACACACTATATTATGCTGTATCATATTTGTACCTATATTTATTTCATTATAATATATTTTTTGTACTGTTATAACTTCTGTTTGACATGAAAGGTACTGATGTGATAATGTAATAATAAATATATCTAAAAATATATTAACAGTTTAACATATTGTATACTCAGAATAAACAATCGAAAATAGTAAACATTATTGGCTATTACAAAGCAATAAAAAAAGAATAAATACTTTATTTTGGTAATTGTTGTAGGATCACCTTGTCCACAGTGTCTTACAAAGAGTAAAAAAATAAAACCTCCAAAAAGAAACTTCTTTAATTGTCCGTTTCTTTTGCTGCCTCAGCTACCGCAGCCTCATCAAGAGGGTCCAGCAAAGAAAGGGGCCTCATCTGCCGCCGAATCCTATGACCAATCTTGGAAGCTGTTAGATCCTCTGACTGTGTCACAGAAGCTTGGTCCTCCTGCACTTTCAACAGTTCTCTGTCCGCTTCTTTGTTCTTTGACTTCTCCTCTTCAAACTGCAAAACACATGAAAATCATAGAACTAGGATCCAAACATTGCCTTTATAAATCACGATTTTTGATTTCGGTAAAGAGTGTTTTTGAACTGTTTTTGAATACAAACTACATTCTGGTAGAAATCAAACCACTACATTTGTACTACAGAAACTAGCCTCTTGAAGTATTAGAGATTTTCTTAATAGAAATCAGTACTAAAATCAGTTAATCAAATAAATAAGCAGTTATTAAAAGTTAATCATACCAAACAAAGATTGAATTTCTTTTGAGATTCTACAACTCACAAATAAAAAAATAGGGCTCAGATTAACAAAAACATTTGTTTTTAAAATAATCCAATATCAAAAAAATTCCTACTCCATATTTTATTGAGTACAGACAGCTCATCAAATAAAGTTACAAAAAAAGGAATATCACTGGCCAGATGAATGTATAGTACAATAATATAATAAAGAGAACTAAAATTATTCACAACCATTCCAACTCTGTTCATCGTGGGAAGTACCTTGGGTAAAGAGGAGATGTTCACTGGAGTATACGACACTCACTTGTTGAAAGCCAAAAACAGGCCATCACCCCTCTTCTGGATTCGACCTTGGACAGATCTAAATCAATGCTCTCTCAGGAACTGATTTCTGGCTTCAGCCAAGATTCAGTGTTTGCAATAATATTAAGCAACGAGACATCACAGGCGAATGAAATAAATAGCTTCATTACAACTGTGTGCATTTTGGTAATTACAGAAAAAGGTAAGACAAGTGTTTGAATTAAGGCCTCTGGAGGGCTTCACTCCACCATCATAGGAACATTTCCCATGAACTAATTCTCACTTCTTCTGGTGGTTTCAATGCAAGTTGAGACGTGCTTCATGTATTGGTCTAGCTGATGGGTAGTACGGTCTCGAGTAGTGCTTATTCTGCCTGGTAATGGGCAATTTCAAAACTGGAAACACGTTTGCTACTATGTCATCTTTTTTTTTGAGACTGGAGGATCAACAACCAACACATCATGCTTTCCAAATGTAACATTGTTCAAACAAATCTCCTACTGTGGAACCACCATTATTTAAGAGTCCAACTTATCACGCACGCCAGACTGAACAGCTTATATCCACCCTTCCATAGCAGTTGTTGGGGGCAATAATCTTAATCATTTTCTCCTTATGCTCAGCAAGATTTCTTCCAAATTGGGTCAATAAGGAAGAATTCCCCTAAGTGATATCAAAAATCTCCTTCATGACCTCCAATAATCAGTTCAAATCAGATCTTAATTTATTGATTGCCTGAAGCAATTTATTTAATTCATCACCAAAACTATTCATTTCTTGTGTTGGAAAGGTTCAAATTACCAATACTTTTGTCCAAGTCCACCTGTTGCTCAGCACAACTCACATGAAAAATACCTGCACACCACGAGAACTTCCCACCTTTGGCAATTTTTTTTTCAGTAAGCAGATTTGTTCCTCAAACAGTCAATGTATAGCCTAACTCAAGTGAAAATGAGTCATCCAAGTAAACAGCTTCCACAAAAAAAGTTAATACTACCAAAGCAAATCGAAAAAAAGATCAGAATAAGCAATGAGGCAAATTCTCAGCTTGATGTCATTCACTTGAAACATAAGGAAGAAAATAAGTTTTTAATTCTTAGCTATTCTGTAGGCCCAAACCAATTTAAAAGATTCATTACTTTGCTCCAAATATTGATGCTATCAAGAGGGCTTACGATAGATTAACCAAGCACCTACTACTGTTTAGTTAAACCCAAATGGAACTGAAACTACTACCGTAACTTTTGGCTTTTTGTAATCTTTGCAACTTTTGTAACTTTTATTGCTGTTTGGTTTTATGTAACTTGTTAACCTTCGCTAATACTAAAATTCCTTTAATGTATATTAAAATGTCAATTATGAGTCATGTTAGCGATTATTAAGGCTACAAGAGTTGTACTGTTGGCTATAATAACTTTCAATAAATAAATTGAAATACATACTGTCCTATGGGCAGAGTTGAGACGTTCACACATGTTGGTGCTCGCGAACTCAGAACCAGCTAGGTAAGAGGCTTCAGCAGCAGCTGTGGCTACCTTTGTCACATACTCCATGTAGCTGGCCAATTCCTGCAAAAGAGAACTTGCATTTCACATCTTCCTACAAACACCGCTGTTTTTGGTTCCCAACTTAACATAGTACAGAGAAATCTCATTAGCATATTTTTCACAGGATGGAGAATTTTGAATAAGCAAGGAAGTAGGTAGGAACACATGTAATCAAAAAATGCTTAATTTGTCCCAACCCCAAAATCATTTCTCTCTCAGTATCATTACCCTCCCCCTGCTCACCCTACAGTCCATCACATAGTGGAAGACGGAAAGGGTTGTAGATCTGTAAAATTGCTTCTCTAAGAAAAAAATTCTCTTACTGCCAGGCCCATGAAAGTGTTTTAACCAGAGCTTGTACACAGCACCAGCATGGTCACCTATAAAACCATACTTAAGAAACTGACAATGTTTAGAACAGTTGTGAATTTGGAGCAGTGTAGTGAATGTTGCAGAAGATCATCAAAACTAGGACTCTGTAAAACAAATCTGTTCATACCTTCAAAACTGAAGATATATTTTAATACAAACTTGCAGAAAATTATTGTAATACATTTTTAAATAAGTGTAGTGTAATTTCTTAACTATGCACAATTTTATTTCAATTATTTTGCAATTTATTGTGAGGATCCACTTAATTATCCACCTGCATTAATGTTCTCAGGGAACTATAATGGCATTGGTATACGACTGATAACCATGTAGGGTCATTTATCATTCCAGCACACACAAGCTGTTCTGATAGAGGAAGAATTTTCGTAAACTTATATCTTTAACAACTTACAAAAATATGGAAATATATTAAAAAAAAAAAAAAAAATTGAAAACAAAAGTAAACTTTTATTTAGAAACAAATAATCAAAATTTTAAACAAAAGAAAAATATAGAAAATCAAATTACTGAAATTGTCAAAAGTGAACTTACACACTTTCTATTGATTCACTGCAGAATTTGAAAACAATTATTAAAATAAAGTTTATACATTTTGGGCAGCTAAGTTTTCAGATGATACATTCACTGACCTTCTAGGTCAGAATGTTTAAAGATTATTTTTTGAGTACAAAACACAAAAGCAGAAAACCTCTTCATCACCTGAGAAATGGCATAGTATTTAACTGGTAAGAATATTCATGAGGTTGAGCATACCTTCCGCACATCGGTCTATGCATTCTCATTTAATTTATTGCATTTCATCAAAAAACAGTGAAAAGTCTGTGTGATATGAGTGAATGAAGAGTAAACTAGTAGCTTTGTAATGGCACAGCCTTTTTCATATTAGTTAGTTTCTTAGTCTCTTTAGAATGGACTAGATCTTTGGTTTTGACCCCTCCCCCCTCTCCCAAATTCCTAAGACATTTTTTTCATGTTATCTCCATTTTTCAGTCCCCTAATAGTAGAATTAAAATTTGAGTCTAACAATATTATAGACAAGTAAAAAATTGTCCTTTATGCAGATTTTTATTTACAATTTTGAAAGCGTTTTAAAGAAAAAGTAATTTGAAACTTTAAAAAGCGCATAATTTTGTGCTCATTTCCCAGAAAAGTTATGGATTTTCAGAAAACTTCATATTCATTGGAAGCATTATTACTCACAAATGCAATAATGCATAAAACAAATGCATGTAATGAAAATTCAATGACAGGAGAATTATTACAAAAAAACAATTGGGTAATTTTTGAAAAATCAAAAGAAATCATTAAAAAGAAATTAATTAAAGAACTAATTGTGGAGAAAACATTTCATTATTATCTTCAGAAATGGAGTTGTAGGAGTGTTTGCAAAAGATAACTTTCTGCAATCCAGTTAACAGTGGAAATAAGCCATATGTCATCTTCGTAAGAGTATTTCAATCTATTCTTGTAAGAAATTAAAAGGAAAAACACTAACCCATTTTTTTAAAAATTTTGCAAACTGTCCCATGGTCTTTATGTTAAGTGTACACCAAAAAATTTCAAGAATTCTTTTCATGATTGTAGGGCTTTAAGTCAGACCAGATTCATCTGGGAATATTCAATTTAGAAATCCTACAAATAGTTAGGCATTACTGTTGTCCATAAATGGATGGTTGGACAGACATTTTGAAAGAAAACAAAACAAACATTTTTGGTATTAGAGGTCTACAAAACAAGTCTTTCTTATGAAAGTTTGAAATTGATTTACTGGAGGATTACACAACTTTCTCTAAATTACATGTATTGCACCTTAAATTCATACATATTCAAAAATGATGTACTATGTGTGTTAAAAAAGAAACTGGAATTTTCATTTATACGAAACAATGTAATTTATTCATCAACATCCATGTTATCACCTTCAAAGTAGTCACCATTAGATATTATACACTATGCCAGCGCTTCTTCCATTCCCCGAAACACTTCCGGAACTCCATCTTAGGAATAGCATGTACCTCTTTCAGCAAAGAGCTTTTAATCTCATCTGCGCTTGAAAACCGACTGCCCTTTAAGGTTCTTTTTAATTTGGGGAAAAGAACATTGTCATACTGGGCCATTTCTGGCAAATATGGAGGATGTGGCATGATTACAGTATTGTTTCTCGCCAAAATTTCATGTACAAGCAATGATGTGCGAGCAGGTGCATTATCGTGATGCAGAATCCATGAATGGTTTTGCCATAAATCGATGCGTTTTTTTGAATTGCTTCACGCAAACGGCGTTGAACTTGTAGGCAGTACTCTTTATTAATCATTTGACCTTTTAGCAAGAACTCATAATGCATTATGCCTTTAAAATCGAAGCAAACTGTGAGCATAATCTTCACATTCGACTGCACCTGCCGAGCTTTTTTCAGTCTTGGCGATCCAGGATGCCTCCACTGGGACAACTGAACCTTAGTTCCGACATCGTACCTGTACACCCATGTTTCGTCAGCTGTTGTGATATATTTTAGTAGTTATGTATCATTGTTGACTTCTTTTAGCAACTCCTGAACAACTTCCATTTGCCGCTGTTTTCGTTGGAAATTCAACACCTTTGACACAAATTTTGCAAACCCAAAACATCCGAAAAGATTTCATGATAAGAGCCAATTCATATGCCAACATTCTCAGCAACTTCCCTGAATAATTCGGTGATCTTTCATAATTATTCCTTGAACCTGTTCCACATTTTCAGCTGTTGTTGATGTGCTGGGGCGTCATCATCTTCCACATCTTCACGGCCACCTTGGAATCACTTGTACCACTCATAAACCCTTGTTTTGCTCACAGCATCACATTTAATTCTTCTAAGGTACCATCCACAGAAAGGAAACATGGTCTTGGTTTCACAACAATTCAAATTTGCTTACCACGAATCCAAAGAATAATGATTACCAATTACTTCACTCCAAATATTTTGTTGCTTTCCTAATTTTTTTTTAATCAATCAATTTGATTACTTTAAGAAGAAAATAATAATGACAAATTCAACTTCTGTTAACAGAGAGCATAAAAAAGAACCCTAACATGTGTACTTTTTTGTTTCTCAAAATTTGTAATATCTGTGTGTGTGAGTCGAGTACAAATTAGTTTTGCTAAAGTTATAAAAAATTCAAGAAGTCAAGAAATATTGTGCTCCTACAACAAAATCTAAGAATAATAAGATTGAATATAAATCAGAGGGAGTTGCAAAAGAGGCAAACAATGCATGAGAATTAAGAATTTGCAAAATTGACATTAATGGAAATACTTGATTTGTTTTCTGAATTATGTAATTATTGAATTAATTGTTATATGAATAATGTATACACAAAAACAAGGTTATAATCTGATTATTTTGTTTATGATTAATTTATAAATATGAATAAATTTCATCAATTATTTACTTTCAAATTAAACATTAGTTTTCAATAAACAATTTTCAGTTAAAACACAACAAAAACATGTGCATTTGCTCTCTGGCTCACCAGTAGCGTGGTACGCAAAGAGTTCACTTGAGCTCTAGCTTCTACTTCACGCTCCCATACTTCCTGAGAATAGTCCATATTTGTGGGAGTTTCATCTTCGTTTGTGTGGCTAGTTTCCATTACCATAAACTGTAGGTCATCAGTCAACACGTCAATAAGTTCGTCTACAGCTTCTCTGAGGACAAACATGCATAATCTATTATTCTACTGTCAACTGTTACATTATATCATTATCACTATTATTATTAACATACTAACTTTAAATGCCCCCGAAGACAGACATTCTGAAAGGGCACAAAAAACAACACTCAAAAATTAAAGGCTAAATATTTATAATTAACGATATTATAAGAATTGAAATGAAAAACAAAGAGCTAAATGAACATTTGAAGATTATAAAAAATTCAAAGCCTTTACATTGAAGTTAAATTAAATAAATCTTCTCGAATACATCACTTTAAAGGTGGACCCATTCTCCAAGCTTGTAAAGCAGCCATCTGTAGGTTATCTGAGGGCTTTACAATCAGCACCTTAACGTCAGGCTCTTTATAAATTATGATAATTAGGTTTAGACATCTGGTCTGTTCCTTTAATCCTTACGGTACAGTCAGTGAGACCCCAGCAGAAAGTTTTTGGTTGTTTTCTTGGAAAGTCCGGACTATTGGCTTTCTGCTTCATAGATTTCATTGAGGAAAAAATTTCTATATTCATTATTATACTAGTAGGATGCCGAAAAAAGGATTTTAATTTCATGTGCCATTCTTTAAAGTGTTTTTAAGCTACCACAGTACAAAGTTTATTAATAAATTCGGAGCCATTTTTGAGAAAATTTTGAAAGTGCTGAGATTTTATATAAAGTACTCCCAAAATATCTATTTCAAACTCAGAAGGCCTTGAATTAATCTAAATAGTTATACGAGTCGTCATTGCCAATAATATTGTTTATTACAAAAGCAGCTTTTGATGGCTTAGACATCATCAGTTTCATTCAGCCTTTTGTGGCTTACATACAGCAGAAAACTGATGATGGATAAGCCATCTAAAGATGCTTTTGTAAATGATATTGTTGACAATGACAACTCAATTATTTCTCTGTAAATACCTATAATTTAAATTGATCAGGGAATATCAATTTTGGAGAAAATTGGCTGAATAGCTTAGGCACTAGTGTTGACCACAGATTGACTCAAATATTTTGCCGTCGATTTATCTACAAGAGCACGATTAATCTACTATTTTATTACTAGAACCGGACAATTAAGAATTTTTGTAGAAAAGTTGCCCTTTTCCCCCGAAGCTTTATAATATTTTCTCTATACTGTGCAATACTAAGCAGTATGCGAGAAAGTAATAACCAGCTTAATAATTTATTCCAAGTTGATTCAAAAACACACTGTAATAGAATGGCAAAACAATGAAGAGTACACTAATGTACAAAAAATAAAGACAATAACATAATTGCAGGGAATCTAAGATTCTATGTAGATATGAAAAGCACTTCACATAAATAAAACCAAACATAACTTAGAAAATGAGACCCAGCCATAAATTAATCTCCCTGGTTTCAAGTTCACTATTATGAACGTTTATTGCAAAAACCAACAACCTCATGCATGAAGCAAACACAATTGGTATAAAAAAACTAAAATTGAACTGACAGTTTACAAACTGATAGGTTCATTTGGTAGCAGGTTATACATTAGTTATTGTTATGAAATGTTTAAATAAACAAATGAAAAAATGTAACACAAAAAATACACATGCGACACAAATGTTCAAATTTGTAGTATACATGTATCATTTTTAGCTACATGTAACCCCAAATTTCATAACAACACATTAAGAAGATAATTCTTAATTTTGTATTTACTATAAACCACTAACCTGATAAAAATAAATAAATAAATCTCAAACATGAATCACTTTAAATTCCTCACACACTTATTTACCTGTACTGTTTGCTCAATTCAATGTACGCAAGGACAGTCTGTGAGAGGAGTTGTGTTGCAGCATCCACTGTCATTGTGCTGGCCTGTCGAATCAACTGCTCATGAGATGGAGGTGGCACAGCTCCCAGCTGAAAATAGTAACAGTTGCATAATAATGATGATTATTAATTTTTAAGGGCACTTTAACAGCTATGGTAGGATTAATATAAGTTTGTGATTGACATTCGTGCTGTTGCTTCATACAACATGAGTTCATGATTTGGTTATTTACTTCATTTATTTACTTATTAACAGACAGTGAAATACAAATAATATAATACAAGTATGTACATTATTATTCCGCTGAGGAATTAATCCAGTGCGCGGGCCTGTTATTTTATAAGTATTTATTTCAAGTGTTCATTTCTGTGTCCCGGGTATACGTGCATAGTGGTAAGCAACCTGTCAACATCACCCATGCCAAAATATTTAAGGGCAGCATGCGCTATGGGAGTGCCAAGCTAAAACATTTTTTAAGAATGCAAAGTAAAACATAAGTAAACTGTAAACGAACATGTCCAATTACAAAAAAAAGGGCTCGGCAGAAAAGCACCAGACAAAGCCAAATAATTGGCATTATTCACTTCCCTAAGATAAGGCTGTAGATGCTAGTATGTTGTAAAAAGTTTGCAGAGAGAGGGTTCATCATTTCCAAGTATCTCTGCTAGAGAGCTAGCAAGGTAGGAACAGTTGGATGCTCAATAAAAATGATTCACTAAAAAAATGTTCACTGATTAATCAACTAACGAATGAATCCTTCCATATAGACAGAATAGATCTCTTGGAACAAATATGGTGAGCCAAAGAACAAATAATTTTTATAATATGCTTAAAAAAAACAAAACAAAAAAAACAATAACTACAATAACTACAACACTTTATGAGTCACACAGAACATACATAGAAATTATCGGGGTAAAATTAAGTACCATCAGGAAATAATAATGATATAAATGTTCAATGTTAAAGCTACAAATGTCAATAAAATAATTTTGAATAAGAGATTTTGCAAGACTAGTTTGAACTTTAAACATTTCTTTTTCATAAAAACAAATTAAGGAAGCACAGACCAGTAACTTTCAGAACTACATTTGTTTTTTTAAATAGGCGCTGAAGAACAGAATGTCATTGCTTAAATTTCTTTAAAAAATGATGTTAAAAATGGTAGCACACTGTCAGGGTTGGGCAAAATACTTTAAACTTAGTATTTAAATTCTTCCCTAAAATACTCCATCAAGAAGTATTTAAATACATTCACCAAATACACTTGGAGTAATGTGCCACATACATTTATATTTTAAATACTTCAAATACTCAAAATATTGTAAATATATAATAATTTTATTAAATAAATATTTTTTATTGTAACAATATATTGTAATTGACAGTCATAGACATTTCTGAACAATAGCTATTGTAATGTATTGTAACCATATGTATAAACATTTTCAAATAAAAATATATCTAACACAAAGAAATGGAATTTCCTTTTAAAACTTCTAATTTTTCAAAGAACTCATCACAAACAACTCAGATAAACTCCTAGTTGCCGAATGTATAAAACCTGCAGAGGAAAATAGTTATTTAACTGGCATGGATGAACATAAACTAGTGTAGTAACGAATAAACAATTTTTTATTGCTGGATAATCGTCCAGCATTTTTAATGATTTAGATTTATTATTGAAAAATGAAGAGAATCCAAATTTAACAGCTGAAAGGAGCTTTTATTTTTCTTTCAATGAGGCGCATTCACTAGTGTAATTAAACAAGAAGAAACCATCCTTGTTCTAAACTTACAATTACAATACAATACAATTACAATACAAAATTATTTAAAATATATGTATTTCAAAGAGAAGTATTTAAATACTGCTTAACCCTGCACATTGTTAATCTTTAGAAGCTTTGGTCTTGGGGTATAGATTGGGAAGTTCTTATATTTCCACAATGCATGTCTTAAAAACATTCTAAGGGACCATGTAAAGTATCTACATTAAGTAAAATAAAAAGAAAACTGCACCTGAAGTTTTGTGGCATCTTGAAGAAATGTTGGTGGCAAAAAGCAGCGAGCTGCAACACTTAATCCTGTGGCAGCTGTGAGTCCTCCAACACCTAACAACTAGTGATTAAAAAATAAAGTAAAACAAACAAATAATTGTTCAAAATGAGAACTTAAGCTACACAATGTCTTTGCCATTCTTTTAAAACAATAAAGAGAAGGATTCACTGTCTATGGATATAGAAATCTTAAAAGAAGAAACATAAATATCAGAAAAGTATGACATGAATTCAAATTTATAGAACTGATACTGACATAATAAACATTTAGAAATTATATATAGTTTGAGACTAATCTACAAATAAACTTTTAAAACTAACTTCTGCAACTCTGAAAAATATTCTTTTAATGCAATTCAATGTCCCTTTCATTAATACATCACTATGATCATGATATGCTAATTATTTCATCACAATTTTTTATTTGAAGTTTTCAAACAATAATAATTTTTACAACTGAAATAAGAAAACTTTATAGACTGAAGGGGAAAAGAACAAATTCAAAATAATGTATTTTGAAGAAAAGAGACAATGACAGAAAAGTAAGACAAGCCAAAAATGAAACAAAAACACTTAAAAGAAAAATAATTAAAATAAGTGAAAATTCTTTTAAAAAATTATCAATGTTTCAAATCTGATAAAATTTAGAGGAAATACTATATTTGATGTGAAAGCTCATTTATGCCTTATTTCAAAAAACAGCCAACACTTTGCTAATTGCCCTCATTACATTCCAAAAAAATTAAAATATTATCAATCATCATCTTCAAATATTATCATATTCATCTTCAAAACAATGCAATATGATAAGCAATTGAAATTAAAGAGTAATGGTGCAATCATAATCTAATATTGTCTAAAACAAAATATTTTTAAAAACAGGTCAATCGATATTCCATTATCATACTACTGATAGATCAAAAGAATGTCATAGATCTTTATAGCACTTACTATAGGTTTTAGAAAACTGATTGAGGGTGTGTAAACATTAAAGCACTAGTGTTACATTCATTGGAGACGAATAAATTCATATAAATACTAAACCAGTTTAAGTTCTTCAACTTTTGTAAGAACATGAAAAACTGTCATTACTTAACACCATTGATTTGTAAGTTTTTCTGTATACCGACATTTAAATATTAGGTTATGGGGTAATACCGGTAAAGAAACTTTTCTTACCCTTCTCCATACATCGTGCCCGTATCTCCAGATAGAAAAGCCACTTCTAAATTTATTTGTTCTTAATCCAAATAATATGGCATTCCAAGCCATGGCAAGCGAAGCGCGATTTTAAGCTTCACGAAGACTCATGTCCCTAAGCACATGGAAGTCGGCCATCGGCGGCCATCTTGTTACAGATACCACAACCAACGCCCTCAAACCGGTGTTGCGGCCAACCGAGTAAACACTTTACTGACAGAGACGAAGCGACCTCCGCAGCAGTGGCGTCCCGTCCCCACTCCCAATTACTGTCGTTAATTTAATAATACAACAGGGCTCTGCCACTTGTTGCTGCCTCCGCCAATGTCGCCCCGGGGAAAGCAAAATGTGCTGTGGGGTCGGGTAAAGTAAGACACGACCAGCTGACACGCAAGTGTCACGTTATGCAGTTTGCGTGTATCACACTACACTTGGATTTCATTGAATCTGTACTTTTCTTTCTCTGTTCTCTTTCTCACGTGAATGAATTAAATCTCAATTTTTGTAGAATTGTTTGGCTAAAAATGAAACATAGTGACATTTATATGTCTACTGTAAGGGTAGTTTCTGCTCTGATATAGAAATGGCAAATATTGATCAATAAAACAGAAACGAGTTAATATGTCATATTTACTCTATTAGCTTTGGAAATATCGTAATACTAATTCCATATCTGACTTATAAAGTATATATTTACTAACTTTCAGTGGAGGTTAAAGAAGAGATGAGTGAATAAAATTATCAAAATGGACAATAGGCTTACCCATAAAAACTCTCCAAATCAATAATTCAAGTAGATACTAATATTTTTTTCATTAGCTTAGTGAGCGCTTGAATAAGATTTCCAGCTGAAGTTTTGTTATCTGGCGTTTATTTTCACAAAATGGAATGTACTAAAATGTAGATTCAAGATGTATTTTTCGTGAAAAATAAGTTAAAACATTACGTCAAGTATTTTTTTGGAGAAAAATTTAACAACCGGTGCATGATTTCTTGAGCTACGGAATATCTTTTTTTCCAGACCTTTCTCGTATACTGTTTTTCGCCCTTAAATCACTCGCATGGGCCCTCATAGACGGAGTAATGTGAGAGTGTTATGTAATGATGCGGAAAATCGATTTCAATATTTCACCTCAGCAGCCGCATTTTCGGCGAGCTCTGAATATAAAAAAATCTACTGATAAAATACGATTTGTTACTTAGTGAGCTGCTGTAACCACTATTTTCAAAACGTCCGTTTGTCTGCCTGTGAACAAGTACCATCGCAAGAGAAATTTGACGACCCGAGAGCCTTTTAGGTCCTTGGTGGAGTCTATAAACACCCACACGGGCGCTTAGCTTCATTGCGGTACTCACATCGCTAGCGCCAAAGTGTTTGCAGTGAGGACGTGGTGATAAGCTTCTGGTTACTTGCTCGGTAACCGTACAGATGTGCCTCTACCCGCCGACCTTTGGAGCAGGATTTGAGGGGGGGGGTATACTGCACTCGCATAAAGAAGTCCGATGGAACCCATAAAATCTCACGCGATATTCACGTCGCGAGTGCCACGTGGGTGCAGTGGGGGCTCCGAACTGTCCGGGTCTCGGTCCGGGTGGGCCCCAATTGGGCACTAGGCTTCGCCGTGGAAGTGCCCGCCCGACACTCGTGGGTTATTGAGCCGGCATTCGTCCCCGTGTATTGTCCAGACCCAGAAGTTAGTCCGGACAGCTAGTAGGTTATCTGTGCTGGCAAAGTTGCCCTTCCCAGGCATAATCGGGGAGGTGGGGCGCTGCTTTCGCATCCGAATGTCAGTCCGAAGGTATTATTTTCTACCCGTGGTGGGGAGGGGTAGAACAAATGTTAACGCTTTTTGAGTGATTGATTATTGATCTCAGGCGCGTCCCTACTAAGGTCAATCAGTCCCGTAAGTGTAGGGTATGTTATTATCGCGTGGCGGTGATCTTCCCCCGCTGTATGACGAGATTTGGCGCCGACCTTTCGGCTATCGGGGGTTCCCCCAACCAGGTCTCCCACCAGCGTGGCGTCGCCGGGGCAAGCTCAAATCTCCCAGCTTGTGTGGTAGTGTAGGGCATGTAAGTGTAAGTGTGCGTAAGTAAGGGGTAAGATAGTTCAAAGAATGAGAAGGAAAGATCGCGCTCAGTGCGTGACCCGTTTGTTACGGTACTGCTTCGAAATTCGCCTGATGGTGATCGGAGAAAGAACGGTAAACTACCGATCAGAACGTGGGTGATCTGGGCTGTCCGGGTGACGCCGCGTCGAAGGCTGAGTTGCCGACGTTTCGAGTTGTCAACGTTGGCAACAGCCTTCGACGCGGCGTCACCCGGACAGCCCAGATCACCCACATGACTCTGGCCGCGGAAGCCTACGACTTCATTTATCGATCAGAACAGCCGGCCGCAATAATTCTCCTCCAGACAGTGACTAAATTCGATCTAGCTGACAAGCTAGTGTCGATAATCCTGTCACCGTCGGGACTCGAACCTAGGACTTCCCGGTCAGAGAGACAGCGGTGACATCAGTTGATAGCACGAGCCATCTCTCCCGGCGCGATTCTCGTGTTTTGAACGCGCGCACCAAACTGCGTCAGGGAAATGACACGAAGCTCGAGGGAATTAAAATGTTGCGCGCTCCTCTCGCTTTTCGCCGCGTCTTGGCGAAATTGCATTCGAGTAAGCAAATTTCTCCGAATTTCGCACAATCAAGTTCTGTCGACTGTGAACGCTCTCAATCCGTTTTGCCCCAGACAGCACTCGAGGCCGCGATGCCAGCGCGAGAGAGCAAACTCCCGGAACCGGAAACGAAACGCTAACGGCACAACTCTTTTTGCGTTTATTACTCCTTGTTAGGCTGCGTTGGTTTGCAACGTTTGGAATCCACACCCACTTCAACAACACATTTTAATAACAAAGATATTGTCAATATTAAATTACAAGTTATCAACCCCAGACGAATGCCGGACAAAAGAACCACGGTTCGCGCGCGATATTTCCTTCCTCTTCTTGGTTCTGTTCCTATTTCTTTCACACACCTGCACTAACATACACTACAGTACCAGACGTGCCGAGAGACGGTATGGAGCTTAGAACTTGCCCCTGCTGGGGGGAAAGTGACCCGATGGCGGGAGACACTTTGTTGGGAAAAACCCCACCAGCCGAGAGTAGGTCGGCTCTAGATCTAGTCATCCAGTGGAGAAAGATCACCGCACTCACCGCCTCCCCCCCCGCGATAAAACTTGCACTACACTTACGGGGCTAATTGCATTATCAGTTGACGTGCCCGGAATTACTACTAATCAATCCAATTAGAATCGTAACTAGCCAATTTCTTTGATTTGTGCAGGTAGGAGCCTGTAATTAATTTTAAATAGGAGAGACTGTTTGATATATCTATTGTTGTAATTGGAGAGATTGTTAGTTTACCTTTGAACATGTTAACTCTTGGATCGTTTTCTTGAGACTGCTTTACGACATGACTTCATAGCTATGACAAATTCAGTAGCTGCTTGTTTGGAGGAGAACTGTATAGTCTGGCTGCTCTTGTCGGTAGTTTTCCGTAGTTTCTTCGATAGGCATAGGTTCCCTTGATTTTGGCGTCACATTTACATAAACATTTCTCGAAGAGACTGCTACGACAGTGATACATGCGTTGTATCGGCGCTGCATGTTCTGAAGCACTCAAAAGTGAAAAATAAAGACAAAAACCTCAATTCTGCCTTTGCCAATGGGCAGATCGACTCTTGAGAGTTGTGTACCTTTTAAAACAGACTGGATCTATGGAATCTCATATATCGAACTCCGTGTCCAAGGCAAAACCAAGCAATAATTTATCAGTAAAAATTAACAGTTTTTTTCTCAACATAAAATATTTTGAAATTATTTATTTGAATACATTAGTATTTTAGCAAATAATTTATATTGACAGCAGCTATGAGAGCTTTCTGTACAGGACGTGTGCGATACGAGAACGTTACCCTGAAAGACAAGTAGTGTAAAGATACATTTATGCTTTATGGAAATTCATTCAATACAACATCCTTTTCGTACGGTCAGCTCTCATTGAAACCCTTGGTCATGACTAATGTTTGCGCAGTCATTTCGACTACAACTGAATGCATGTTCATTAATTATGCAGTTAACACATGGAATTACAGCTGTCCATGTCAATACCGTAACTGCCTTTCAGATTATCATGAAATATTAATTTGAGTACGTATGATACGTCATATTTATGTCTATTCGACAAAAAATCAATCGATAACAGGAATGTGCTTTGTTACCCTTTTGACCGACGTTGGCAGGAAATTTTGTTCCCACATTTTAGCAGCCAGGAAGCGAAAAAAACTGTTTCATTATCATTTATCAATTATATAAGTCCTTCTGTGAATGAGATTATAAAGGGCTGTGATTGAGGTCACTGTCAAAGGATTTAGATTTGTTAATATCGAATGACTATTTTCCATAATTAATCATGTCAAAGAATTCACTCCTGCCTTGATCATTCGTGGCTTTCAAACGAAACATTGCATTGAGATAATTTATTGGCGGCCCCTTGGGGTAGGTAAGGGAGGCGCGCGTACACTGATGAATCTATTTTAATTAATTATACAAATCAGATAATGTAAGAACATTTAAATGACTCTTACAGTTTGAGTATTTGTAAGTTATTTTACCTGTAAATACAAAATAAATATTTCATTTTAGAAGCGTGGATTTCAAGCTTTTTATACGCACTGACCGGGAGGTACTAGTTCGAATGCCGTCCATGGATGATTTTCGACACTAGCAAGATAGCTACATCGAATTCAGCCGCTGTCTGGAGGAGAGTTCCAGCGGCCGGCTACTCTGATCGGTGATTTTCCGTGGGTTCTCCGATCAACACAGGCAAATGCGCGTAGAGGGAAAGAACAAGCCTACTTTTTGCAATATTATTTAACTTCCCTGAATTTGTTATGAGGAACTGAGGAGTTTTCGAGGGGTAGGGCACCAGCTAACTGGTGTGCGAAAATAGAAATCTGATTTGTATACATAAAAGTGTTGGACTATTATCTGCGTTCTTATGTATCTCAAGGAAAACAAATCCGAGCCAAAAAATTATAAAACTAATATTTTTAACTTTGAATAATAAATACCACTTGTTACCATTAGAAACAATTCAGTAGGCCTAGACTTCACTTCGGTACATGGGAATGTTGCTCAAACGATGTTTACGCATTAAATATATTAGCGAACCAGCAACTTAAATTTAGTAACAACCGGTGTATTATTTGCAATATACATTTACAGTTGGCCATTTATGTACAGAATTCGAGATGCCGACAACTTTTAAATCGTGTGTTTGGATTGTGATCGTTGGCAGTTGTCGAGTGACTTGCGCTATTCTTTCTCTATAATTTTAAATTTGGTTCCTTTTTTTCAATTAATTTACTTAGTATTGTAGGCTAGCACGTTTTGATTTTTGTTGTTCATTTCTTTCAAACTAATTTAGTTTCGTTAATTTAAAAAGTTAATTCTTTGTGATGTGTCATAGCACAAGATTTTCCCTACCTCTGTGTACCCGTGCGAGATCTCTCACATATTGAACTCTATCCTTCTTTTCCCTAATCTTCTACTTTAAAAGGGAAAGTTGTTAACAAAACGTATTTATTTGTTTAAAAATATAAAAAGGTAAGTCCAATCAACTAAACACAATATTAAAAATAAAAAAAATAATGCAGTAGAAGTTGAAAATAAATTTTCAATAAAGATTTATTCAGTATTATCAAGAGATTTCTTGGTACAATTCACTACACGTCCTTGAAAATATTTAAAGTAACCATTAAATATTCTTTGACACTTAGATTTTTGCGTTTCGTGACAGTCACAAAAATATTAAAACAATATTTTTACTCTTGAGAAATATACGTGACTAAACACGCGGACTGGAAAGTTTCACCAAATCACTGCTGAAAACGAAAATACTGGTACAAGTAAAACACAAACCAAACCTAACAAGACACGTCTTTATTCTTCACTGTACACCCCACACCCCTCCACAATTTGGTACACAGCACTTGTAGACACCGACAAACGTTTTCGCTACACGCATGAGAAACAATCATCGGAATCAAGCAACTATTAATAGTACTTCAAGTTGTTGCTGCGAGAACGAATCTTGCATTAATAATTATACAAATAAACTCGTTAGTCTGCGCCAACCCCGGTGTACACAGAAAGCGTAAATAGTAAGTCTTTTAAACAAATCCGTCGTATTTTTCAAGTCAAAGTGCAATACTTCACGTATCCGTGAAATTCTCCTTCTATAGAGACCTCACTTAAAAAAATCGGTCGCGAGTGAGTGCCGTAAAAAGCAATACTAATGAAATAATATAGGAGACGATTGCGCAGGATATAGAACAATACAGGAGACGATCCAAAGCAGCCGGTCACTAGAATTCACCTCCAGATGGCGCTGACAGGATTTTCGACACTAGCTAGATAGCTGTAGATACTGAACCACCGGCTAGTTAGCTAAATAGAATATGAAGAAAGCGAAGAAGAAAGAAAAGAAGAGAGATGAGAAGAAATATAATGTAGAGGAGAATAATAGGAAGAGAAGATGAAGAAAGAGAAGAAAGTAAGCAAGAAGATGGAATAAAAGAAGAGCTTAATAGCTAGATCCATTAGCTAGCAAGAAGGCGAAGAAAGAAAAGAAGAGAGGTGAGATGAAAGAGAAATAAGAGGAAAAAACTAGAATACAGGATGAAAAAAGAGAAGAAGGAAAAGAAGAAGACGAATAAATAGAAAAAAGTGCTTTTGCCTTAGCCTTATACTGTGTTATCTTTACTCGTAACCTCTTAACAAATTGTTATTCCGCGTGTTCTAAACCTTGGCGTTGCTTTGATTCTGGAGCAGAGGAGCCGGCACAACTTGCAGGTGATACAAGTATTAATATTCAAAACCCACGACATATTCTGAAAAAACAATAAGAGTAATTTTAAAACATTCTTTGTGCTACTGAAAATCGCTTTAATTTAAGACAATTCAGTGCAAAAAATAAAGAAAAACTTTTTTATTTTTGAAAGAAAGAAAGAAATCTGTACGAAAACTCCAACGCTCGCTAGCGTCATTCGCACTCAGACACACATACGGAATGGGGGAAAGAGATAAAACACTTCTTTCGCAGCCTGAGAGAACAAAAACGTATTTCTGACAAAGCACCAGCATCGATTTCTTGCTTCATTATTATAATGTACAACCCAACGCAACTTACCTCCGCTTCTTCATAATTTGCTGATGCGCGGTCTCCGTGGATTTTGGAGGGATTTACGCAATGGGCACTAACATACAGAACACGTTAAAAGGCCTGCGGTGTTCGCTTTCAAAAATAAATTTAATCTCTCAAGCAAAGATACTCTTTACACAAATTACACAATGTGCGATCTTGAAAGCTAATACTCGTAGTGCTTTCGAGGCTTAATTCATGTAACAAGCAACAACTTCTCGCGTAGTACATGAACAGCGCCGCAGATTTCTGTGAGGCGGTTTCGCGTTCATTTCCCGGTGGAGGCAAAATTGAAGCTGTTGATTTGTAATACAAATCGTCTCAATTTCTGTATCTGTGTGATGGAAGAAACGACCAAGTGGGACAATTAAGCTGATTTCGGTTTTGCGTATATGTCATGCTCACCTCATGTCTCCCTTAGCCTCAGGGTGTGGATATTAAATAAAAACAGGGTCGAAGTCTGGAAACACCGCTAGCGGGCAATAACAACATTCATCTTACTCCAAATTATATTATTATTATTATTATTATTATTATTATTATTATTATTATTATTTCGTAAATTTATCATGTGTTTAAAAATAAACCTAAATACTTTATTTTCCACTGTTTTCATTAGTCGATCACTTCATACTCTCATTCTTTATTTATACATTCATTCTAGTGTGCATCTTAACCTCCTTGGTTGCTTTTCCATATATTTCTTTTAAATTTAGTGATGGTTTTCAAACAACCCAGGATAATCCCTCACTATATCTTCAACTTGACTGAATGATATATCGCAGCCTTAGAATTTGTGAAAAGACAGCCTACGTATACGTGAAAATTCATTCACATCGAAACGTCTCAAATGTGGGCGTCGTTTGCGATACAAGCTTTCACCATCGCCTTGCGCTGAATAGTTCCTTCGTTGGCCGCCAGGGGAGAAGCAGGTCGCTTCCAAGCTCCTCTAATCCGATGGGGCATCTGCGATCGCTGGATTCGGGTCGTCGGCCGGGGAGGGGGTGAGGGAGGGGAAGGGTCTGATGCAAGGGATTTGGAACGCAGGTAATGGACTGGGAAACCGGCTACCTAAGGACCAATCGATTGCCCCAAGTATATTACCATATTTCTTATTCACAAAAATATATTGGTCTCTTATTATCTATTGATAGTCTTGTTATACCATGCTCGGCGAATCAATACATTTAATGCTCCGTAAATGTTGCCTTATTGCAGTGTACTGTACTTGTACACCACAGACCACTGGTCATGTGATTGTTAATAATCTCATCTTACGCTACGCTGTGTAGAATTTCGATTAGATGAAAGACTTTGTCGTAAGTATGGGTTTGTTCTATGTCCTGGTTGGGGCTTAGTTGTCAAGTATCGTATTGTTAAAAAGTTCTTCCTCAAATTTGGGCGTGCGTTCCCTATGACACTATCTTGGAGAAATTTGATTTACTTGTATGCAGTGAAGACGCGTTCAATTCTTGTCTGTGCGGCGGGTTGCGTCGATTTCAGGGGCGCTTGGGTTGTCATGAGAAAATATATCATATGCGTGATCTGGGCTGTCCGGGTGACGCCGCATCGAAGGCTGTGTTGCCGACGTTTCGACCATCTTGTCGTGGTCCTCCTCAGGGCTGGTATTCTTCATTTAATCATCATCATCATCATCATCAAAAACGCCCTCACATGTCCGATTTAATTCAAAATACTCCAATTACCAATCATAACAGAGTGTGAAAATTTCAGCGAAATCGGTAGAGTATTTTTGCGTCTATGTGCGACACACATTCACTTTTATTTATATGTAGGCTAGATATGCCGTTTTCTTGGAATTTTTAACAGAAGATTAAAATAATTAAATCCATTAATTTAAAAAAAATCAGCGTACAATTTTTCAAAAACGTTTCGGGGAATGGTAGTTCCCATTCTCAGGTCATCTAAAAATACTGACAAAAATCGGCAATATAAGGCTATCATACATGGATGGATTCAATATACCGATTATTAATTAATAATAATATAAATTAATTGTAATGAGACAAATACAATTTTGTAAATAACAAATAGCGTTGTGAAACATTACCTCGATCGACCCCCTGGTGGTCAAAAGTGTGTGATGATTTATTACAAGGTCTGTGCAAAGGAACGACTCATTCGAATAAAATATCTAAACAGAAAGACAGCAACAATGGAGGACAGACGAGAAACAGTCAATTGAGTAATAAGTAATAAAAATAGGGAATGGCGATATAATTAATAAAGAATAAAATTAAATATTTAGTAATAAATAAAACAGTGCATTGACACGTGCGCAATTTTCGTGAGTTATGAAGAAAATTACGAAAGGAATTAGGAACCGATTAGCAAAGAATAAATAAAATGCCAGAATAACGGTAACCAATCAAAAATTAGAATATGTGCATTGCTTGCGCACTGGGATGAAGGAGAAACGCATTTGGGCTCATACGCGCGCAGGGAGGAGACAGAAGAAGAGCGGGTAAAACAAAGAAACGAGGCATACGACATTCCGACACGGTCATGTGCGGCAAAAGGCATTATGATTTGGTAGCGTTCGGATCGCAGCAATAGTCCGGAAGTTACGACATTAGATGAGCGTTACGGAAACTGAATAATTTGTGAGAAAAAAGTCATAAGTAGGAAAAGCTATAATTGCATATGTGGGGAGGAGATTAATCTAACAAAATGGATCTCTGAGTGGACGGGGAAACGACGATCAAGAAGGCAGAGGAGTGCCACAGGAAAGTAGACTAAAGGGAACATATTCAATATTAATAAATGAATGAAGAACAAGGATTAGGTTTGGATTAGGTTAATGAATTCAAAATTAAAATTCAAAATAGAGCAATGGTTATGCATGCATGGGAGGGATACGGGAAGAATATTAAATAATAACAATAAAGTTTTTTTAACGCAAACATCAATTGAGTTGTGTTCATAAATGTTATGAATCGATGTTTATGTCCACAGCAGAATACAAATTATTTTGTTTGTTTGACTTTGAAGTAAGTATTGTTATTCATTTGGTAGCGGTAAATAAAATTCCCAAATACCATGTCAAAAGGACATGAACATTGCATACCTAAATTTTCATAACCGGGCCTCTGTAAAGACGGTCTATCTAACCCCCAAACAAATTTATTATGACAGATCAACCGCGGTACACTATTAGGGCTTTTGTTGCATTAAACTTGTATAGGAATATAGACTAAATCATTCGTGTATTTACGTTAGAATAAACTGAATGAGAAGTACCAAAGAAGACCCCCGTCAGAGATCCTATTGATTACAAGAAACATAAATGAAGATATTAGTTGTTTTATTTAAGGTTTAAAACATCTAATAATACTTGTTTACATGTCAAAAAATTGGAAATGTTGATAGTAACGACGAAATGTGGAATTTGATGCAAACCTCTTGCAATTTCTCTTGCAGTCTATGTGAACAAGAATTCTCAAAACAAAATAAATGATAAATGTAAAGAAAACAACAAAGGAGCTAAAAGAAAAGAAGAAAAGACAATGCGAATGTGAAAATGACTCGTGAAGAAACGCACTTTCATTAAAAGTTTCCTGCCCAACAGAGTAAAACTTCCTCGCGGCAAAGACTTCTACCGAGTCCAACTTCCCCCGGATTTTCTGTGGTCCTCCTGCCTTGAGCAGTGGGCTAGAAGGAGCGGAAAAGACCGCCTAGGAAGACAAAATCCGATTAGGCTCTATCTGGTTAGTAAAACTGACTGTGCATATTGCAGAGGGCGCAGGACGCAGAGAAATGATGTCACCAAATCACAACTTTAATTTAATTTTAATTCATGAAAGCATAAAAGAATTATGTTACATTAAGATCAGTAGTAGCTGATGCGTTCAGGCAAAATTTTAATGCTTTTTTATCTTTAATTTACATTTTGATCTGAAGATTTGAGTATCGTCTCTCTATTGTACTAGTGGTAATTGTTGAAATTTTAACAGCTTTCTATATTCTCAAGTAACTACTTTCACTAAGGACTGTGTAAAAGAGATATTTTTACATGAAGTGCTTGAAAGGATTACTGTATTTACATGAATATAATATGTACACGAATTTACAAAACAAATTAGTTATTTTTATATTAGTTATTCAGTATTTTCTCGAATAAACTCACATAAATTCACATTACGTATGTTAAGTTGCCGTTTCTTTCGCAGACAAGATTGAAATTTTTTGTTGAGACCGTAGTTGAGGCAGAAAATCTCAACCGAGAGAATGAAGAACACAGAAATTTCACGTACGAAAAATGAACAACGTTTTTTCTACAACTGCGTAAAAATATAAAACATAAAGTATTGTTAACTTGTATTGAAAAAAGAAGCCTGATACCCCGGACTATAGTCGAGAAATATATACTATATGCGAGAAATGCTTTTCAAAGAGCCACTAAAAAGAGTTTTCTAAAACTACGCAAAAATACGTTTTTTCACGGTAACAAGATAGTTGTCTTGGCAACGTTCTTTTTTAATGAATATTAAAACATGAACTTCACGTAAGGCTAGGGATGCATAGAATGTTCCTTTTATGCAGTTGTAGAAAAAAGTTTTTTTTGCATTGTGACGTCATCGTGAAAGTACGGTATCAACACATTTTTCAAACGTTTAAAAAAGGTTCTTTTAAGCATGTAGAAACTCACATGTTTATACAATCGTAGAAAAAAACTATTTCGTTGCACGCTATCGCGTTTGACGTGCATGACATCGCTAAAAGTCCCTTTTGCCTTCCAGCAGGAGCAGCGATGGTAGCTGCCGTGGAGTCGACGAATGCGGCGAAATGGATTCTTTGTTATCAATAAGAATCTGCCGTCCACACAGGAGACGGCGACGGTGACAGCGCGACGGATCGGAAAGTTTGTATTGCATATTGGATTTCGGTTTCCACCGAAATGCGCAAAGGGAACCCAATTGAGGTTGAAAGATACAACATCCGGAGAAGATCGAAGACGTGAACGTTGCAAGGGGTGAACAGAGAGAGTCTCTTTGTTGTGTTCGCTGCAGAGTATTACATAACGTACTACATTGACGCAGTAACTGTTCCTAACTTCAATTTTTTGACGAAATAATGCAAATTATTAAAGTTGCTGTCAACCTAAAAAATCAAGAATTTTGTGTCCCTTGGATATTTGATTTCTTTTTGCTTCTAAAGTTTAAAAAAATCTCCATTGCTTTATAAACATTTTAACTAAAAATGTGGGTTTTTACTTCAGACATCATAAATCTCCAACAAAATGAATGTTTTGATAATTCTTTTTTTTTAAATGATCACAACTGTATATTCTGGTGAATGAACTAGAATGGAAAATATACTGTGAAATCTTAAGGGTCAGGATTTGATTCTTTGAGAAAAAGTAATTGTTAATAAATATGTACTGGACATTTCAGATCATAACACTGAAACTTTTAGTGACATATTAACTATTCTAGTTCATTCACTAGAGGAAACCATGGGTTACATGTTGCAAAAAATTGTATTATTATCTTTTATTGTTTGTGATTTATGATGTTTGATATGCATGAAAGTGCTGAAAATTCCAAATTCGGGAAAATGCATCTGAAGTTCACTCACTAGGTGCTTGACAGTTAATACTCGCTTCGACAAAAATATTTTCTCAAAAATTCGCTTAAGAAACATAGAAAGAGATGAATTGCAGTATTTAAAAGAATAAAACGGAGCATACGACTCAATAACAATTGGAAAACCAAGACTTTTAACGATTTTTCATCATTTTGAGGTACACAGCTACCTTAACCATTAAGTTTATATTTGGAATAGTTAAGACTTGTGACAATCTTTTTTTACGGCAGAATGAAATATATTTACTAACAAGTGGTATAGCTTATTTTATTTACTACATTTATTATACATTTCTAGTGGCTTAAAATACCTTTTTGTGCAATTTAGCTTAATAATATGTTTATTATTATTATTATTAT